TAACAGTATATGCTAACTTTCAATGCAAATACACAAACACTCCTTTCATCCTGTCAACCCATACCAGTACTTGAAGAAGCTTAGATTTTCCTGGTTTGGGTACTGAAACGTACATGCCAAATACTGCAATCCTTACTCAGGCAATGTTCCCATTGAAGTCAATAGGAGTTTTGTCTAAAAGCTGCAAATTTAATGCATACCACATAGGGAAAAACAGGTTCTGGACTAAACATCTAAAGAGGCACTGTCCATGCAGAGGCAGCCCTATAAGAATACAAAACCTGGAAGTGAGCATTTTTAAGTAGGCAATTTGTAGGCAGTATTTTCTTGAGTTCTATACCTACTTGCACTGCCAAGCCCCCACAGCCCCAGGCATAGCAGCCTGCGTGGGTCCCCCCTCCCTGTCCCTCGGAGCCCATGGGAGGGGTGGCAACATGGCAGGATAGGCAGTGGCCCAAACAGGCAAAGACGGGCCACTCAGTTAACCAGCATAGTGTTATCCGGCACCCTCTATTCCCCATGGGTCCAGATAACAAAGCTTTTACTGTATATAGGTCCAAAGATGGGTGATAAGACCAATCTGGGATCAACGGATTCTGTTGCAACTTAGGCATATGGTTCCATGTGTGGTGGGTGAATCTGGATTCTTGATTCAGTCCATGACACACTGTTTCTGCTGCTCCCGCTTCTCCATCTCCTGTTGTCATCATCATCATAAGGCTTCAAAGTACTGAGATCCTAGCAGCAGACTCTTCCTCCATTTGGGGCAGTCCTGGGCAATAGTCTCCTGCCAGCTGATGTCAATGTTAAATTTTTTCAAGCTGGTCTTGAAGACATCCTTGAAGCACTTTCTTTGCTCTCCTCTTGAGCATATGCTTTGAGTGAGCTGGGAGAATAAAACTTGCTTTGGGAGTCGAGAGTTGGACATCTGGATAATGTGGCCAGCCTACTGAAGCTGATGTTAGATGATCATCGCTGTCCCGGAGCACAGGATGATGCCAGCAACTCACCTGCGGCAGGGGACGACGCTCCCGGGAAACCCGTGCGGCTCATGAGCCAGCTTTATGTTCAGCTGTGGCCGGCCGGTGATGTCAGCACCGGACATCGGCCAGCGAAGATAAAAATGGCAGCAGCAGCGGCGGAAGGGGCGGATGGCTCCGGAGAGGGGAATCCGTTGGCTGCGGGGAAGGAACGCGGTCCCCAACGGTGTCTTGAGGGAATCAAAGAGCCGGAACCAGGAGCACCAGGGAGAGCGAGCCAGCGGCAGCCTCCAGTAACCGGCGGAGGACGAGAGGGACCCGAACGGGACGAAGGCAAGTGGGAGCAGCTGCAGAGGACACGCAGGACTCAGGTGAATGACCGGCTTGGAAGGGTGCCGAGGATCCGGACGGAGGGTCGGGATCGAGGCGGAATCGCCGCCTGGACTGAGGGCACCGGGTTAGACTGGGCTTAGAGCCCC